GGTGGGTGTGTGGGTGGTCATGCGTGGTGGGTTGGTCTGTTTTAATCTTGTAAGCTGCCCAGAGTCACTTGTGTGAGGTGGATGACTATATAAATCAAACACACAAAGTCCCCTTCTTAACCCTTCTCGGACAACGCACAGGAAAGCTTCTTTCATTAGGAGCTAAGTCAGCCACCAGGGTTTATCCTCCCCACCACGGGAGTCACTGCAAAAGCTTGCTAACACTCTGGGACACTTAGTCATGTCCAAAAGAACGCCCCATTGAAATCTTTGACGTTTTCAACATATTTCAACATACAGATATTTGATCTTTATTTCAACAATACTGGTAGATAAAGGGGAATTAAAATTATACAATGGACTACAAAATGGTGCATGACATTCGTTGTATCCCCTTTATCTATCAATAGTGTTGAAATGAAATATCTTGAAGAACTCAAAAATTTCAGTGGAGTTTATATACTTTTTCCCATGACTGTAAGTCTAAATAAGGAGACTGAAGAAACTAAATCCAGGATTAAGGCGACTGAAGCTGCGGGCAGTTAAAACAGAAACGTGCTTAACCTGGGCTGTCTCGCTGCAGTTACAACTGTGTGTGATTGTTTCAATGACCAGATCCCTGGTGAAAAGCTGAGGGGTGTTTTACCTGGCACTGCAGGTGCCAGTCTTCCATGCTCTCCTTCCATTCTCTGATCTCTCGCTGGACAGCGGCTAGTTCGTCCTGGAGAAAGCTCCACATGATGGCTACGTTGCACCCGTTCACCCAGTTATGGTTGATGGAGATGGTGTCTTCCTGGTGGAAGGGAGAGAAGGTGAAATGGGCACCCCTCCTACGTGGGGTGCGTGGGGGAGGAAAGGGAGGGGGGCGGTGTGGCTCCATTGGTCGACTGCTAGCCTATGGGACTGAATTCCTACAAGAATCAAAATGGGGTCCAAGATGTAAATTCTGCTTACCAATCCATCAATACCGAATATTTGACCACAGAAAGTTAACAGGCAGCTGGCTTAAAAGGGAATTCAACTGGAGTTGTGGATCAGTGCTAAGAAAATAGGAAGTCAGGGGATCAAACAGGAAATTGGGGGAATCAAATAGGAAATTGGGGATCAAGCAGGAAATTGGGAGATCAAACAGGAAATCATTTGGCATAATGTCTTAGGCTACTGCCCTTGAATATATGCAGTACAGGTAGTCCTTGCTTAACGACCATTCATTTTAACGATGGTTCAAAGTTACAACGGCCTTGGAAAAAGTGCTTTACAACCTGTACTTGCACTTATGACCATTGCAAACTGTCACACCACCCCCTACAGTCACATGATTGTGATTTGCGACCTTTTTACAATGGTCATTAAGTGAATCATGCGATCGTTAAGCGAACCACGTGGTTGGTAGGCGAATTCCAGCAAAACAGTCCATTGGGGAAGCTGGATTTGCTTAACGATCATGTGATTTGCTTAACGACCATTGTAAATCGGGTCCCTCATGTGATGGCTTGCTTAACAACCAATTTTCCGGTCCCTATTGTGGTTGTTAAGCGAGGACTACCTGTAGCTTTTTTTTTCTTTTGGTGTCTTTGAGTCACACTGTCACACCACCCCCTACAGTCACATGATTGTGATTTGCGACCTTTTTACAATGGTCATTAAGTGAATGAACAAGTCCATGCACTTTTTTGGCAACATTTTCAGAAGTGGTTTGCCCTTGCCTCCTTCCTAGGGCTAAGAGTGAGTGATTGGCCCAAGGTCACCCAGATGGCTTTGTGCCTAAGGCAGAACTAGAATCACAATCTCCCGGTTTCTAGCTTGGTGCCTTTAATCTCTGCACCAAAGTGGCTCTTCTGCTCCTCCCGTATATCAAGATAAATCAAACTGGGCACAACCTACTCTGACTAGCCACAGTTGCTCAATGTTGGGGCAGAGGAGAGGACTCCTGGGGGTGGCCTCTAGAATCTTGGTGTGCAAATCAAAGCTTGCCAACTGACCTGTGGCATCTTCCTCTCCATGCGTCTGCCCCCAAAAGGGAAGTGCACACTGCTGAATTATGTTTGACAGCAGCATCCACAAGGTATCCAAAGCTTGTGGTTCTCAGAAGCTTCTTACCAGATTGTAAACCTGATGGTGCCAACCGCTCGGGATGAAGACTATCTCCCCAGCTTCCTGGATGATTTCGACTGGTGGGCTGCTCTGAGCGTAGCGGGGGTAAAGGGTGCAATTCTTCAGGTCAGGGGCAGTGATGTCAAATGGCAAGTGACCGTGGTGATCCCTTAGATACTCTTCTTGGCCCGGGGGAAAAACCAGCCATTTCTTTTTCCCACAAATGTTGGCTGACCAGCTGTAGGAGTGGAAGACATCAGCGTGGAATGGAGTCCTAGCAGAAAAGATTAGGGATAGGCAGCTGATGAGGAAGTAGAATCACACACTGAATAATAGGAAAACTTAACTGTGGTGCTTCAGAAGATGGCAATTGAATTCTACCCTCTAGAGGGAGAGTTATATATCCTGCAAGTTAAAAATTACCTGGGCCAACCTGGGACTAGACATCTGGGACCTAAAAAGCTGGACGCTATGCCTATTTTTCATTCTCCAGATCTCTACCTGTTTCAGGACTAGATTAACCTATGATAGTCTAGTGTTTATCTTCAAATAGAGCAGAGACCCCTGCTTCCCTTCAGCGGACAAGCTCTTTTGATTCTTTTCAGCCCCTGAGAAATGCTGGGGCTGAGTGGATGTGTGAAGGGCAGCCCTTTGGGGGTTAAAAAATGGATAGGGGAGCCACATGTACCTTCTGTGTGCCCTTCAATGGAGGAGATGCTGCTACAGGTAATGAGTACATACAATTTAACCTTCCTGTTAACTCATCTGGCTTGTGAGATGGGAAGCCAAAAGTGCCCTGGTGTAACAGTATGGGGGAATGACCTTGGGAGACAGGAAGAAAAGCCACAGACTAGACAATGGTCGGATAAGAGGCAGCTGAGCCCACAGAAGGAATGGGAGCATGGAAAGCATCTCAGAAGGGACCCTCCTTAGTTTCTTGGGCTGTAAAGGCAACAGAGGAGAAATGTACTTTCAGACTTGCAAGATTGTGTTTGTGTAACCTTACAATAAAGTTAGAGCTAGTACTTCTGGATGTGCTTCTTGTCTGGACAACCTTGCAAGGCTGACACCTGGTACTTTAGCAACTTAGGAAGAGAATATTTCTAGAAAAGCACTAGATTTGGTGCCTGGTTGGTTTCCAGGTCCAATTCAAAGTGCTGACTGTCACCTTTAGAAACTTACAGGACTCCCTCTCTCTGAACACATTTGTTCCTTCCCTGTGTTTTCCTGCAGGGAGGGATTGAGGGTCCCCACCCTAGGCGAAGGGGCATGATGACGTTTGTCCTCTGTAGCTGCCCTTAAGATAGGGAACACTTTGTCTCTCAAAATACAGAACTCCCCAAATCTCTTTTTCTTCCATAAATTACTTAAAATCTGACAATTCTGCCAAACATTTGGGATGCAATAGTGGGCAGGCTGTCTTTTACACAGAGAACTGAGTTCCTGGGACTTAAGGCAGAGTACAAGAATGGGATACATATAAGAAGAACTGGAACATACAATACTTGTACCCTGCCCCACGAAAAGGGCAGATTATAAAATCATGTAATAAATGAATTCTGATTTGATAGTGTTTGAAGGGGGGAATTCCACTGCTTTTTCTGGATGCCAAAGATGATCTGAGCTTGCAACTAGCCAGCATAAATATACTGCAGATTAGCACTTGGTAGAGCAGCCATGAAGGCCTTGGAAAAGATACTCAAATGCCATGATGAGTCTATATTTACAAAAATCAAAATTGTGCAAGCCATAGTCTTCCCTGTGATAGTCTATGGAAGTGAAAGTTGGACTTTGAAGAAGCAGGAGAAGAAGAGTATTGATGCTTCTGAACTGTGGTGCTGGAGAAGACTCCTGAGAATATCCATGGATAGCCAAAGAAACAATCAAATGGATCATCAAACAAATCAATTCAGAGTTCTCACACGAGACACAAATGACCAGACTCAAATTATCCTACTTTGGACACACTATGTGAAGACCCCGCTCTCTGGAGAAGGCTCTAATACTAGGAAAGTTGGAAGTAAAGAGAACAGGATGACCAGCAGCACGGTGGAGGGACTTGGTTACAGTGTTGATGAGTGCACCATTGGGAGATCTCAAGGACCAGGCTGGGGAGAGATCATTCTAGAGAAGGTCTATCTATGTGGTTGCTAAGAGTCATCACCAATTTGATGGCACATTATCATTCAGTGTGAAGACTTAACTCTCTGGAGAAGTCCATAATGCTGAGAAAGGTGGAAGGAAAGAGAAGAACAGGATGACTAACAGCAAAGTGGAGGGACTCAGTTACAGTGGTGATGAATGCACCATTGGGAGATCTCAAGGACCAGATTTGAGACAGATCATTCTAGAGAAGGTCTGTCTATGTGGTCACTAAGAGTCAATAACAACTTGATGGCACATAATCAATCATTATAAACAAATGATTCCTTCCAAAAAGGATGATCAGGGCTTGGTTGTACCATGAGCCTTTGGGTCCCATGTAGACAAATCGATAGTCATCCACAGCGATGGCCTCCCAGTATTCATTCAACCAGTCAGAGGAGAAATAGATGGGAGTGGTGTAGACCTCTTGCTCCGGAAATGCCCTTAAAAAGAAAAGGATTATGAAAGCATTTGAAACCTGTATAAAACAAGAGTGTATCAAAGGGCAGATTATCCTCCCAAACAGATAACTCAGTTGATTTCAGTCAATTCTACTAACCCACTCTTAGTGAATTACTATATTTCATCTCACATTTTGGGTCAGTTTCATACAGCTGGCTTTGGCTGACCTAGGGGTGGGGATGGGGGGAAGAAAACCTAGCAAGGTAAAGATCTGGTTAGGGTTTGAAATGGACATCACCAGGAAATCCCAAGGCAATAGGCTAGACTGCCTAAAAACTCATTCCAGAATAAGGCAAAGATCAAGCACTTTCATATTATTGCCAAGGAAACAACCTGGATGTCTCATGCTATCACTAAGAGCAGAACTCAACTTCGAATTTGAACCCCCTCTCCCACATCAAAGGGTGGTGCTCTAACCACTACGCTCTTCAGCTGTGTGTGTATGGCTGATGCAGCCAGCTGGATAGTGTAGTAGTTACAGCACCGCCCTTTGACGCGGGAGACCAGGGTTCAAATCCCATCTAGTACCTACCTTACCAGTAGGGGTCCTTGGGCAAAGACCCCCTAACACTTCACCTGCCTACCTCGGATATGAGAGTGACACGAACTAAAAGAGTCATGCCGGCTTGGACGTCACCTGGATTAACAAGGTCCGCGTCAGACGTTGGGGAACCAGGACAACCTGATGTTAAGTGGGCTACTGGAACAAACCATACATGGACAAGACAAGAGAACTTGGAATTGATGGAATGCTACTACAACAGTAGGCTTTATGAGAGGGCATATATGAAACATATGGGGGAACTATGGATGGACAGAAGAC